CAAGTAATAACGTCAGCTGAATAGCAAACATTGGACTCACTTATTCCTCTGTTAAGCAGCTTTATGTAGCCAAATAAATTAAGAACTTCAAGAAACAAAAAATTTAGCTTTGTTAACAATGAAGAACTGAAAACCTCAGGAAGTTTTCACTCCACACCTCTGATGGGTTATTCATGAAGATGTGGTTTTATTAAGCTGTTGTTTGGAAATTAAAGTATCATTTATGTAACTTTTCTTGAATGATAAATTATCAGGTTTTTGACGCAATGAATACTTGCAGTTCTCTGAAACGAATTAGTACTTACCCTTCCCCTGCCCAGCCGCAGAAGACATCAGCTCATAGTTGTTCACAGCAGGTTTTCACGTTACAGACACATGTCAACATTTTCGCTCATAAACATTACACTGCAAATATGCAAACATAAAAATTGTGACTAATTAAATAAACTTTCCCCCTTACAGCACTACCAGACTCTGTATAATAGGTTCTTTCAAAGAGAACAAGACCGCCATCTAGAGGGCAAGAAAAATAAACTGTATTTAGAGCACAAGATAACACCGAGTAACAAATTCACTCACTGTAAACCAGAAAAGGTGTAATGGATGCACATCACCGTTACCCACCACGGAGTTTCATTTTACTTGATACTTCACTGTAAGTCAGTTAATCAATAACCCTGAACCCCAAAAGTGACAATTTTTTCTTTTAGTATGATAAGTTATATAGAAAGTATGTATTTTTAACTTACACAGAAAGTACGTATTTTACAATAAAATGATTTTCACTATATGGCATAGAAGTCTAAATAATTAAAAGCACTGATCCATAACTAGGGATAGAGATATCACTTCTGTCTAGTTTCTTACCTGCAGTACTGTACTCATCATTTCCTTCTCCTGTACTGACTGACTCTGGTGCAGAACAAAACACAACACAAAAAGGCAACTGAAGTAGCAGTGAGCTTCCTTAGAACAGCATTGTTAAACAGCATTTATGGCCATAATGTCCATAGCAGTCCATAACCGGGAAATTGTAAACCTTTACAGAAAGACACAGAGGTGGGATTTCAAAGTGGAGCATCTTTGCTAGTAGCTATTTCTTGGTACATCAGAAAATTGGATAAGTATGGGGATTATAGCCCAGTGGGAAAGGATTCCAGATAATTCTTACTGTTTACTCAGATCAATATCTGGCAGTGAGAAAGCTAAACACAGCTCCAATAGTTTGCCTGTTTCAGAAGAGATGTTGTGGATGAAGAAAAATGTGCAGAAGAACCAAATTATCACTGCAGAATTATCAGAACAAAGTGGGAATATTGTGGGGTGCAACAAATAATTAATCAGTAATGCCTTTCTCTCTATCTGGATGAATTTCCTTTCTGTTAAGTTTCATTTTCTACCCTCTCAGAGACCTAAACATTCTCAATGTACCAAACCCACTGGGATACAGCAACAGCACTTGAGAAAACAGAGAAGTTTAAAGAAGGCTCATTTCCTCTACCATTCTGAAAGTTAATTCAGACTCCAAGGAAAAACTGCAAACACCTCTGACTGTCCGACTGTGCAGCAATAAGGGGGCTGGGGGGGGGCCAGGGGGTGGGGGGAGGGGAGTTTGTTCAGATCGAGATCTGCTTGAGACCTTAAGTGAAGAAGATGGCTTTGCAAAAAGAAGCGTTTTTAGAAGTCATCTGGCAGACGCGTTACCAGAGTGCTGTCTACTGCAAGTGGGTGCTCAAAGCTAAAACCCGCTATTCTGCACCAAAGAGAACACAAACTCTTTGGCACACAAGAAAAGCCCATGCACAGACAGGCGCAGGGCCGTGTCCACTCTGAGCAACCAGTAGCTCCCAAAACCCACCACATTGCGCACTGTCTGGGCCAGGTGGCGCACTCCTGGCCTCCGGCACACTGGGCCACACCGAGACAAGCGCCAGGACAAGCATTTCCCCCCAGATGAGTGACAGCCCAAGAGTCACTTGCCCGCAGCTTGCCCAGAGCCCAACCGTGCCCCGTCGCAGCCCCACGCTGCCAGGGGAGACAGGAAGCTAGGGACTTAGTAACGAGGGGTAGGTCTGAGGGAGAGAGGAAAGACAACACCATCTTCCAGCCAAACGATGGGTGAATTAAACCCTTCAGTGCTGGGGTCTTGGCAGTTTTAAAGGATTGTGCTGGGTTCTGAGAAGGCCAGGAGCTGACCGTTAGTCAAACAAGAACAAGTCTGCAGCTGCAGGAATGCAGAGGTCAGCAGAAAGCAATGTGTGAGAAACGGTGATAACAGAAACTTTTCCCAGGAATGTGTGCTTTAAGACTACCAATCGTTGGACTGTCTGAGGCGCATGGACAGTGTGTGCTGACCAATCATAATAGCATGCTGTGCTCCTGGTCGCATGTCCAGGACTCAAAAGATTATATATTGAGTAGCCTTCTGATAATAAAAC